GAAAAAATATAAACAACTCCGCTGATGTTTAAGGTTTATATAATTTAAAATTCATTTTCGTATATCCTAATATATTTAATAAAATTATTTTTAAAGGCCCCCAAATTAACCTCACCAAAATAAACCTAAGCAACAACAAAGTGGTAATCCCCATTTGACCGAAAAACTCGATATGAATATCGGCCAGGGGAAAAATATCGTCTGTTCTTAATACGGCGATTTTTGTTTTGTTTTGCTATAATATACGATTGCCAAAACGATGGCATATTTAACTAAAATATTTCCATTTCCAAACCAAACAAATATTTTTTTAAGACGAATATCGCAAAACAATTTGGGAATGAAACACTATCGATAGGAAAAAGTTACGAAAATCGTAATCGCAAAAATGCATTCGGTTTAACCCATTTGAACAAATAACTAGCTTATAACAAAGAACGTGAACGCTGGGGATGGGATATATTTGGGCACATATATCAGCCGCTGGTGTTGGGAATTTAGCTTTCTTTGATGGGAACATGGACAAGGACATAAAGAAACCTTCTTCAACTATTCGAAAAACTAGGTATAAAAGATAGTTTTTTTTTTATTTTAGCAGGTGGACCTTAACCTTAACCTTAAATCAGGAATTGCTCGAAACTGGCCAATTTTAAAGCCTTCACTTAATGATTCCATCTACTCAATAGCCTGAATTTAAATGGCATTGAGGATTGTTGGTTAATATTGAATCAGAACATTATAAAACGCGAAAAGGGACTTAAAAACAGCGCTTACAGAGGGGTGAGGAAAAACTACGCTATAGATCACAGAAAAATTGGTCAAATCCATGCAAAAATGGCTAAAAATTGCTTTAAACAACAAGAGGAACTTAGAATATATCGACTTTTAGTTGTTCAAATAGGCTGTGGAATGAAATGAGGCAGACTTTTTGTGATTAATTCTTGAAACTGCGTAAATAAAATGTTAAAAAATAAATGAAGTTAGTTGCTTTTCTATCAATATACATTTGACTTTCAGTGCTAAGGTAGATGGTTCAGAAGTTATACCACTTTTAAGTTTTTCTGCTCGTTTGGTTCATTTAAGCTGTGAGACACTGTATGTCATATGACGAAATTGCAACAGCCCATTCTGCACAGCATCCATTTTTTCCGGTACAACAATCGTTTTTGGATGATCCTCACGGTGTTGGTACTGCAGCGAAGTACGTACACTACTGAACTCGTTTTACCAGCTTTACGCAATGGCTGTGCATGGTGCTTCATCGCAAAAAGTTGAAATAAGTTGATCGTAGCATTCTTGTCTCGAAAATCCACGTCGAAAATCGTAGCAAATTATGAAATTTTCATGTATTAATTTCATTTTCCAGAAAGATTAATTTCGTTTATCGTTAGTAACCCGCCGGCCCCCCCTCATCGCTACCAGAATACTCCTTATCTATACTTCACTCCCCGCGGCGGTCCGACATAACGAGGCAGAGGGGAATGGTAGCGGGTCTTTTGAAGTAGGCGGGAGAGCAGCTGAATTATCTCATCGGCTAATCGATCGATTAGATCGGCAATCTGGTAGATATGGGCATTCTCTACGATACTGCGTTTTTAGTTTAATCGAATCTTTAAAATTGTGCCTGCCACAGCTTTTCGTACTTTGTGGGGGCGGAAGGTGGCGGGGCGAAATTTTGAAATACACTTGTGATATAACATGAATCTCGAAAATTTGGTTGCTCTAGCTCTTATAGTCTCTGAGATCTTGGCGCTCATCAGGACGGACAGGCAGACAGATAGAGACTCGGCTTTTGATGCTGATCAAGAATATATATACTTTATGGGGTCGGAAACGTTTCCTTCTCTGAGTTGCACACATCCACTTTTACCACAAATACAGTATACCCCTTAATATACTCCGGTCAAAATAGTAGGAGTGCTACTAATGGATTTACATATTGCTAATTTTTTCGGCTATTCCTTCAACAATCGAATTTGTTTCTTTACTCGTACAACTATTAAGCATTGCTGTCCTTGATTATAAAGTTGTACTAGCATGTCTCTTTTGATTTGAGATTTCTCGATAAATATCACCACATCACATTTCGATGCGTTAAAAATAATAGTAGTGCTACCAAAATTTTTAAAAATTATTGCATTTTTTGCAAAACTTTTGTTGTTAAACAAAACTTGGATGGTTTATTTAACAGTTTCAAGCTTTTTTTGTTTCGTTTTTGGTCATTTGGTACCTGTTTCATGGGGCGTGACAAACACTCTATAGCGAAGGTAGCACCTTCAACCACTTAAAGCAGACACATGTCTTTTATACACTCTTTAATTCAGCATGAATAGGAGAGTTGATATAGTCATGTCCGTCTGTACGTTTTTATGTAAGCCAGTCTCTCAATAATAACACTACTCGACAAAATCGAACTCTTTTTTTCCTCAAGGATCCAAACCGACTTTTTCTGATAGATATGGGGCTTTAAAATTTTTTAAAGAATTATGGTTTTTTTTCTATGGCAGAACTTTTTTTTTAAGAATTTTTGAAGTCTGGTATTTTTGTTTAAAGCTTTTTTCAGAGGTTGCGCTTGTTTTTTTCACATAACTCTAGTATCTTACGTCTGGTTGCAAAGAACTTTGCATTGAAATGCAAAAATTATGATTTTTGTGCAGTATTTTTTACGAATTTTTGCCTTTAAAAACTCAGGAAAAGTCGAAAAAAAATTATATCTTGTGTCCTCTATTTTTTTGTGGGTTGTACATTTGGTACCTGATCGCGTTCCTTTGTTCCCAATGGGCAGTTGGGCTCGCAACATTCCAAAAGGTATTTTTTGTTTATTTTTTCCATATTTTAGGTTTGGTTAACGAATTTTTGTCTCTCCATAGATTTTAATGAGCGATACCTTAAACGACGCCAAATTAACTCACCTATACACAAAAAAATAGAGGACACAAGATATAATTTTTTTTCGACTTTTCCTGAGTTTTTAAAGTCAAAATATCGTAAAAAATACCGCACAAAAATCATCATTTTTGCATTTGAATGCTTTATATTTCCCAGACGGTAAGCTGTTATCACAAAATGTTTGGGCTTAACTTCTAGCTGTTTTAATTATCTTTTCAAAGAAGCAAAGTTCTTTACAACTAGACGTAAGATACTACAGATATATGAAAAAAACAAGCGCAACCTCTGAAAAAAGCTTTAAAAAAAATACCAGATTTAAAAAATTCTTCAAAAAAAAGTTCTGCCATAGAAAAAAAAAATATATCATCAAACCATTTTTAAGCCCCAAATCTTTAAGAAAAAGTTGGTTTTGTTCCTTGAGGAAAAATCGTGTCGGGTAGTGTAGTTAATCTATACTTTTAAAACAAACTGTTAGACTGCGATGCACACAGACATCAATATGTAAATAGTTCTCCGAATTTGGCCAAATTCTGGCGACGTTTTAAACAATAGTTTCTAAAACACCTACATACAGATCAATTCCGACGAGTCTACATAATCATTAAAGAAGACTATTTTAATAATTTCGTGGGACCCAAACCACCTAAATGCATCATTATTGCGTGCCTGCGTGTGCGCCGGCTTGCTCGTACACACAATGGACATTCCATGGTGTTCGCGAGATATAAAAATATGTATCGTATTTTGTGGGTTATGGCGTAGCCAGGCACGTCTTTAAGTGCGCACGGAGGAAAAATCCAGGCCTAGGGCGCACCACTTGTTGACAGTTCTATACGACATAGGTACATATGCAAGCACACGTACACACACGTACATATTAATACACTAGTCCAGAGGCACTGCACAAGATGTATTTTAGAGTTAACTTTTCATACCATAAGCCAGAGAAAACACTGTTGTCAAGTGCCTCGACAATGCCTTTCTTCTAACTATTAATTTTTCATAAAGTTTTGTTTGTAATCTGCGAGTTTTGAATGTAAAAACAATATAAATATTTATCGGACAATCTTAGTTGTATTGATACGTGGTTTTAAACTATACACATAACAACTTTTGCTTGAAATGGGAGCGTTTAAGACTGTACGGGTTGCTCTACAGCAACAAAATGGTTGAAAACAATATCTTTTTCAAATCAACGACACTCTAAAGCTCGTCAAAATTAGCATGTGTCCAATATTTTTATACCCGTACTCAAAAAAGAGTTAAGGGGTATATTGTATTTGTGGTAAAAGTGGATGTGTGCAACGCAGAGAAGGAAACGTTTCCGACCCCATAAAGTATACATGTATATATTTTTGATTAGCATCAGTAGCCGAGTCGATATAGCCATGTCCGTCTGTCCGTCCATCTGTCCATCTGGCCGATACGTTTAAACTAAAAACGCAGTATCGTAGAGAATGCCCAAAGAAGAAATTAATTTTCAGTTGCTTCCCCCGCCTACTTCAGCAAGAGACCCGCTACTCATTCTCTTTCTTGCTCGCACACTCTGCCTCGTTATGTACGCGAGCGCCCGCTGGCGGAGATGTAGAATCTAATGGTACATGTTAGATGTAGAATATACATTCTAGATGTAGACGTAGATAACAGATGTATAAAAAAAATGTAAAATGTAAATTTATGTAATTTTTTTTTCATTAGCGATCTTAAGAAATATAGCTTGGTATAAGGTTTAAAAAAATGTATTACATTTTTCCACTCTCCATTTCTTACTTGTAAACGATATGTAAACCTTTTTAGTTTTTTATCCTTCAAAATTCAAGTGTTTGAATAACAGCTTTAGAAAAATAGCCAGCGTGTGACTGACAAACTTCAACTGTTTAAATTTAAACATATATTTAAGAAACTTGTCTATTGTCTATGTCTATCTTCTTATAAGCATTAGTTCTCCTGAGAAGGTTGCAAATTTAATTAACAACTCCGAAACAAAATTAAAATTAAATATTAGCGGATCAAACTTTTTATCAAGGAAATCAAGGAGCTTATTTAGGTAAATCTGAACAGAATTATATTTATTCTTCCACCAGCTGAAGACCCTGATGAATGTTACGCACCTGCTTCTGATTTGCCAACAATATCCAATTCGCTGCTGTTCAGATTGTTCTGCAATTGTAGCAGACCCGTGCTGCAGGTGCTCGAGCTGGTTATGTTTTTCATGCAGCCAGCTTATGGGGTTCCCAGTTCGCAAAGGACACGCAGTCGAAGGTACTGGTACATATGTACATATGTATGTACATATATGACCGCTGTCTGATATCACTGCCACTACCACTGGACACCGTTGCTGCTGATACTTAATGTACAGATTGCTTGTTGTTTCAATGCTAGTCTAGCTATTGTTATAATTTAATTAAGTATTATCTGCAACTGTGATAGTACCCTTTCTTGAACAGAAATACTTTTGCTTTTGAATGTCTGGCGTATTCCCAATTTTTATTTTCACTTCACTGGCACTTTATTTTAATTGAATTGAAAAATTTCGACATATCGTATTTGTAGAAACATACGTTCATACATAAACGCACGGCATGCATACATGAATATATGTTTGTTTGTATGTATGTATGTATGTATGTATGTATGTATGAATAAATTGCTGTAATTCGTGAATCACAGTTGTTTAGGAATTGAGATTGATCATTTATACTCGGGGAACTCCTTCAACATTGTGCACACTCTCTTTGCTGTTGCTCTTGCTCTCTATCTCTCTCATTCCATTCCGATAAATTTGACGCTGATTCTGTCTGTTCCTCTCTCCCTCTTTTCTGCTCTTTATGCAACGGGCGTATGTGTGATTGAGTGTTCGGGAGAGCAGCTTTCTGTCAATGTGTTTGTGCAAATGCGAGTATTTGGTGTGCCTTTCAGTAGATATTAATGCGCAGAAGCAATATCGCCAACAACATCGGCAGCGATAAAAGGCCAAAGAAAAGGCATAGAAAAAACAAATGGTATGCTCATTTTTAATGTACATAGTTTTCGCTTATTCATTTTCTTTACGAAATTATGGGAGAGGTCTAAATTCAATTGCAATTTTAGGATTGCAGCTGCCAAGTCAAGTGCCAGAGCCAAGTCTGTGTTCATATTTTTGCGTCGCTGCTGCTGAGAACTGAGTTTTTCAGCACAAGCGCCAGAAAATGTGTGTGCGTTCATGTGAGGGTACCGTACCCAGAAAACCAAATGCTCGCAAATGTTATCGCTGACGAGCCAAATACGCGAAGACTAAACTTGAAAAGCTCTCTCAATCGGATCAAATAAGATTCAAATATGATTCATACGTCGTTCAGTTTGTGGCAATGCAAATCTGCTCAAAATGCTCTTGCCAGAGCTTGTTTGCGAGTTATATGCGGTACAAATACATATGTATGTATGTATTACTCTTTTTTTTCTCACATGTGAGCACGTTTGCGAGCATATTGCCGAGACTCATGAAAAAGACTCGTGTGCGTTTGTTTTCTGGGTAGTGAAAAATACGTATGTATCTGTGTGTGCGAAGTACCCCAACAGTGCTGCATACTAGCCAATGCTCCTATCCAACTAAATATGTATTCACGCATGTCATGTACATAAGTAAGTAAAACAGACGGTCCCCTGAAATGTATTTGGCCAATACCATTTCCTCAGGCCAAGTCATTGGAGCTGACGTGTCGACCTGCTAGTCTAGTCCATGCCTATACCATACGATCTAGGTAGTAGACAATCTATTAAAAGCGCGATAGCTATATAGACAGGGATGCTAAGTATCTAGACACGTTTGGATACCCGTTGCCCAGGTGTGCCTTGGAGTTTATTTCTCTCCAACAGTGTCGTAACCAAGCCCATAAAAAAGCTCGTTTTTAGCCGCTGGCCCGATACAGAAATACAGGGTATGTCTTGAGAAACACCCAGTGAGACATATCTTTGCCACATACATATATATCTATCTACACTTCCTTCTGTATCCGCGTATCTACACACTTATATATGATTGTATATGCATGTGTGTCAGTGTCTGCACATTCATGTTTTACTTTACCCTCTGCGGGCACACACACACACATACACACCACACACACACAATTAACACGCAGTTGAATGAAATCACAACGTTGCTCTTCAGGTTTCGTTTCTCTTTGAGGTGATGTTGCTGGTATTGTTCTGCTCGCGTAGGTGTTTTTGCCTGCTTGGCAATTTTCTGTGACTCGTTTTGTTATTGGCGAAGCAAGAGCATACGTATGCATCCATGCACAATGTATGTACACACATATTCATGTATCCATTTGTTGATTGTGTTTGATGTCGTCAATTGCAGGAAATTTGTCTAACGAAAATAATCTTTTGTAGGTTTATTGGCCTACTCTCCGTCTCGTGACACTCCCACGCTTTCCAGTTTCTCACCCACACATACATATGTACATATATAACTAAGAGAACACACATCCATGGAGGAGCGTCCGGGCCTAAGAGAACGATGGGATATTGAGGCGATCATATTTTTGAACCAGTTTTAAAGTTGTTGTATGTATGTATGTACATACAGATGCAAATCATCCATAAGATTAAAAAAAAAAACATTAGCACACCAGAAACAAATTTAAATCAAAACAAAAAATTATTATTTTGCAAATTGATGAAAAGCATTCACATTGAAAGAACCGTAAAAGCGAACACCGTACTACAGTTGAAAGCGGGAAGGGCGCACGAGCGGCGACTGTGGGCAACGATGATGACAAAGAAAAAATCGCGGAAACACTGCGAAACACGCAACGCGCAGAAGCGAGAGAAACTCATCGACTGAATCTAAATCAATACTAAGAACGACGAGACGGACAACGACGACGGCAGTAGCAACATATGTACGTATGTATGTATGTATACAGTCCATAGCTGGTTGGCCTGGCTCTTTCTCCGGTGCTGGCGTCTGGCGTCGTTTGCCTGCTTGACTGGTTTGCCCAACTTATATTTGTATGTACATACATACATACATACATTAATTACATATAAGGTAAGTCAGTTACTTTCTTTGTGTCAGGCGTTTTTCAGCATGTGTATATGCGTTTTCGCGTAGGTTTGGCTGCCAAATAGAGCCAGATCTTACCTGTCACACCTTTTTATGAATATACCTTGGCTTTGCCTATTTAGTTAGCTAATACACACAAGAACCAGAGCAGCAAATTTCGATCAAGCCGCAACCCAAAAACCAATACCAATGCAACGCCCAAGAACCTGGAGAGCGACGAGATCGCGACACGGAATGCCTCGACGGGGTATTCCCTCTCTTTCGCGGTCGTATTCATACTCACACACAGTCACTCACAGTCTCCCACACATGCAATCATAGCGAAGTTAGCTGTTGTATTTGCAGTTGACGAGAAAAATAAGCCCCGACAAGAGAGCGAGTTGCGGGAATACACTACCATGCATAATTTCATTATGGCCTCGACTCGACTCCCTCTCCTTTGATTTTTCTTATGCTCATACTCGAGCGACGTCGACGTACAAACATACAGTTATACACACATTCACATACATACATACATGCATACACAGTGTGTGACTAACACCGCTCGTCTGCTGTTCGCTCTGTTCTTCTCACTTGTTGTGCTGTTAGAGCGCCAGGCATAAAAGAATAGCCACCACACTCACATACATACATATGTACACACCTTGATATGTACACGCAATGGCCAAGAAAGAGTATATCTGCATATTTACATATGTATGCCTATGTATGTATATGTAAAGTAAACGTACGCGTACGCGTAAGCGTTCATGTACAAACATACATATTTATCAATATATGTATACATATGTATGTACATGCTATCAGTATAAGCACATAAATATGTATGTACGCATGTATACTCGGCTGAAACGGCGATACAAATTGGATTCGGCTCGGTTTGGCCCGGTTCAGCTTTGACTCAATTCAGTTGCAATAATTTAAACAGCTGATTCTCAATGTTATGCAATGATAAAGTACATATATACATACATACATATATACACATTTATGTATTCCTGTATGTATGTTAATATGTAATGATGGCATCGAGCGATGTCTCGTTCGACTGCTGGAAGAAATACACATATGTACATATTGGATCACAAAGCAGTATGAAGTAGTCAACTAGGACAACACTGCAACAAATTTTCTGAGATCATTAATGATTAATGGCAATTGCCACTTAGAAAGGTATACATACTTGCATACATATATATCTAAAAATTTCTTCTTAGTTACATGCATGTACACATGTGTACATATATTACATATGTATGTATTTATGTATTTTATATATGCAGTTTTTTTTCTGAAATGACAATTTCATTAAACTTTTTCGAGTTTAAATTGAATATATAGCTGTGGTCATATAAATAGCAAAAACCAAAATAGAATATATCGATCGATTATTTCGACAATATTTTACATCCGATTTAAAAAATTTTGATCACAAACGATTAGTGCACTCTTCCACATGGTATACAGGCAAACAATTTATCGTTATCTTTTTTCTCTTTTGCTTTATGTTTAATTTTCGTTCGCGTGCACCTTTTTTGCATGGTCACAGAAATAGCACATTTTGATGAAGCGGCAGCTAATTTCGAGTAAAAAGTTGTTTTCGCAGAATTCTTTGTTTGATTTTCAATATTTCGGTAACGAATTGATATAATTTATCGTGCTAAAATGGGCCGTAGAAGGCCCAGTGAATCTGGAAAAAAAACCGTCTGAAATAGCCGAAATAATGAAATGCTCCAGAAAGATGGTGTACAACGCACTTTAATTAGTGACGTTAGGCCCAAATTATTTGAATGATAAAAAAAAACCTTAAAAATAACGCCAAGAAAAACGGATTCTATGACGGATAGGCTCATAGTGCGGAAGAGCAAAGCGCGGACCCTTTTAAATCCTCTCGAGAGATTATAAAGGAATGTGGCACGGATGTGTCAAGGAGACTAGTGGCTAGAAGACTGAACGAAGCTTCGCTTTTTGGACGCATCAGCAGGAAGAAGCCACTCCTGTCAAAACGAAACATCAAACAAAGATTGAGTTTCGCACGGACCCTCCGGAATAAAAGTCTGAACTATTGGAAAAATGTGCTATGGAGCCATGGATGAAACTAAGATAAGCAAAGTAGGACCCGATGGAAAAACATTTTTTCGTCATCCAGATGGCCAAGTTCTTAACCACAGGTACATAATGAAGACCGTGAAGTACGGTGGCGGATGCATTATGTGCTGGGGTGCATTTTCCTGGCATGGTGCGGGTCCGCTCTACCGAATCAATGGCATAATGGATCGTTTTATGTATGCTGATATTCTCAAAAATCAAATGGAACCATTTACATTTGAGAATATGCCTGTGCAATGCATATTTCAACACGATAACGACCCAAAGCACACATCTTGCGTCGTTAAAAAGTGGTTGAAGGACGAATCCTGGAGTTCTGGAGTGGCCGGCTCAAAGCCCTGACCTAAATCCAATAGAAAATCTATGGAATGATGTTAAGGTCATGATATCCAGAAAAAAATTTGCCAATATTGACGATTTGTGGACAGGTGTCAAAGAAGCTTGGAACTCCATTCCGAAGGAGAGATGTCAGAAGCTTGTGGAAAGTATGGGGCGTAGATGTAACGCCGTTATTGAAAATCGTGAATATTCAACTAAATATTAAATTTGTGAAACAATTATAGCTTTTGAGCTTATTTTCAAGAATTATGGGCAAAATTTTGAAATTGTGCTATTTATGTGACCACCCATATTTCGTTATTTTTTCATTTTTATCTCTTTTCTTTCAAAACATTTATAAATTTTTCTTTATGAATTAATTAGTTAATAAGTTAAGCTATGAAGAGCCAAAAGTGTTTTATTTTTAAAAAATATTTTTTAATTAATAAAAGCATTCCATAAATTGAATATTTTTTTCTGCTATTTATATGACCACGGCTATGTGTAAGTTACGGTCTTTTTCCACAGAGTTGGAAGTTTATGAGCTCAAGTGTATGTGGGCATTTCCAATCAGGAGTTATAATAAGTTCGTATGACAAAATGTAAAAAAAAAACGAGAAGGAACGTGTGAGTCGCTTCTGGGGACGCGACTCTACTTATACCCGTACTCAGTCAGTATATACATTTTTGAACTTATGATTTTTTAGAATTTTGGAATTAAAAAAAAAAAAATTTACATTTTTTGCTACATCTGTTATCTACATCTACTATGTATATTATACATCTAACATGTAGTTTATAGATATACCATTTGGATTCTACATCTTTTTCGCTAGAGGCCGCTCGCGCACTGAACGCGGCAGAGTGTGCGAGCGAGAAAGAGAATGAGTAGCGGGTCTCTTCCTGTAGGAGGCAGGGGAAACTGCTGGAAATTAATTTCTTCATTCTGGCTATAATTATAATCCGATCTGATTCAGATTCGGCAATCTGGTAGATATGGTCATTCTCTACAATATTGCGTTTTCAGTTTTATCGTATCTTTAAAAATGTGCCTGCCACAGATTTTCGTCCTTTGTGATGGCGATAGGGGGCGGGGCGAAATTTTGAAATACACTTGTAGCAGTGTGATGTCACATGAGTCTGGTTGCCCTAGCTCGTATAGTCTCTGAGATCTAGGCGCTAAACAAGACGGACAGACAGACAGACATGGCTATATCGACTCGGCTATTGATGCTGATCAAGAATATATATACTTTATGGGGTCGGAAACGTTTCCTTCTCTGCGTTACACACATTAACTTTTACCACAAATCTAATATACCCCTTAACTCTTTTTTGAGTACGGGTATAACAAAGTATAAATTAAAAAAAAAAAATTCTAATTGCATAGAAATTAAGAAGACCTATATTCAGTTATTTTAACAATCAAACTTTCCGGCTTTTAGCTTGGAGATTGTAAAGCTTACCGCCAACCCATATGTGTCACCTGAATTTCCAACTCAGAGTGAATAGGTTTCTCTGGCACCTACATATGTACATATTTACATAAATATATGTATACATATGTATATGTCAATATGTATGTATATAGATTGGTGAAAACTGCGAGCTTTCAATAAGTATAAAAGAAGAAAAAAATTCAAAAAATTCCAAGTTTTTGATAAAAAAAACCACACGAATCTAATATACTACTATGTATATTCTTTGAATACCGGGTAAAACAACGGTAAGCGTTGTTAGTTTTCGAGATCACTAAACGGTCAAGTAAGAAGCCCAGCCCCCTAGTATACATACATGCATACATAAATAAATTTATTCATATATATATATGTATGTATATATTAACATATAATATAAGTATATAAATATGTATATATGTGTGTATGTATATATCCCCATGATCTGCCGCGACCGGGCATGAAAGCCCGATCAGAAAATAACTACATTTGCGTCCACTGTGGCTACGTACAGACAAAGGTAAGGGAGAGGGCCCCGGTTGTGGACATAGTTAGGTTTTTGCCTCATAACTTTTGACCAATTGCATATTATACAAACATATGTGTACCAATTTAAAGCTAGAGGCATTATCTAACTATCAGTGAAGAACTAAATTGATTCCTTCATTCGGAAAAATTGTATCAAGAATTTAGTGAAGTAATCTTTTTTCGAGAAAAAAAAAATATAGGCCTAGTTGTGGACCACCCTGAAAAATCCGCTTAAAATTAAAAAATATGAAAGAAAATCACCACAAATAACGGAGAAATTGGAAGTTTATTTATTTTAAGAGCCTACTGGCTTAAAGAGAAAGAAGGATGATACTTTTTAACATGAATCATCGTAGTCAGAGTCGCAG